TCGAACGACCGAACGATGAAGTACGGAGTTACACGACCGACGGACGACAAAACGACGACGAATATGTTAATACAGTCAGGTCTCGCCAAGTGTCGTTTTCAGTAAGTGTCATGACTCACAAAGTGTCATCGTTCAAGACCCAACAAGTGTCACTTTTCCCACTTTTTTTTACCCTCTCCAATGCTAAAAATGGACTTCCCCAAACCGGTTTGCAACATAAACCAATGAAATGGCCACTTTTATTAAAGGGGCGTGGCTTAGGCCACTGACACTTACTGAGACAGACGGTCTCAAAAAATTCCCAGTGACGACACTTAGCGAGACCTGACTGTATTATAGGAGAGGAGATTATTATTCAAAAGAAATTCGATTATCTTTATAAAATTTCAATAAAAAGTTCTTCGAAAAATTACAAAAATGTTATCTTCTGACATTATTATAGGTAACAGCTAAAAAAACGCGCGTATCTCCTGGTATCTTCTAGTATCAATAAATAATTAAGGGGGAGTGACACCTTTGACCCGAAAAAAATCGATTTTTTTTTTTGCTTAAACGATACTTTATAATGTGTAGAATAGAAATTATAATAGATGATTTCGAAGTTATTTTATGTGAGAAAAATCAAAAACTGCAAAAGGTGTCCAAGAGCGCTTCAACCCAATGGGAAGTTAACCATTGGCGCAATAATGGTCCTATATTGGGAGCCAGCAGTACCAATGATGGTGCAATAATAGCAACCAATATTGGGCCACTATTGCCAGAGTCTTGGGATGATCACGACTTTGCCAAGCATTGGCAGCCAATATTGGATCACTATTGGCTGCCAAGGCAAATGTTGGATACTACAGAGAAAGGAGGCCAACTTCGGCGCCCTCTATAATAGGCAACAAATTTAAACTTTTTTTACGTATAAATATATTTTTGTAAACTTAAAAAGTTAACAAATAAATCCCTCAAAACCAAATTTTGTTTAATTTATTCCTGTGTCTTAAAAAAATTCATGAAAAACAGGTTCAAAAGAGGCCTCAAAGGTGTCACTCCCCCTTAATAATAATGCCTATTAACAATAAAAACGGGTACCTACACATATGTAATCACAAAAAATAATTCAAATATTTAAAAAAAAACAAAATTTTGTGCAAAAATTATGATTATAAAAAAAAAGTTATGCCTATTTTTTCGTTTAGTAAGAAAAATGAATTTCGTTTTAAATTGCAATTTACAAAATTTATCACTGCTTTGCTAACTTTGCATACAATTTTATAAGTACTTGTGCCTTCAAAAAATAAATTAATTAAAGTTTTTTGAAATGTTACTTCAGTTTTACTTTACGAATGATTCAATCACTTTGTTACGTCAAATTCCTGTTGCAAATAACAAAAAAAACTAAAAAAAATTTGTGACCAAAAATTTTGAATCCTTGCTAACTTTGCACAAAATTTCATTTTTATGCCTCCCAATAATAAATTGAATTTTGGAAAAACTATAACTGATTGCATAAATTCAATGGATGTTTTCAAATAATTTTAGAATTAAAGAAATTCATAAATAAATGTAATAGAACATTTTTTGGAGTATCTAATCATTTTTAGAGTGAATCAGAATATTCTTTAGGGTCAGGAAACAAGTCAAAATTTTTTCAAGTAATTAAGTTTTTCATATTAAAAAAAAGAAAATATTATTCAATAAAAAATAGTAAAAAAAATAATGAAGTATAATATTATCTATCAGAACATATCAAAAAAACAAAAGCATGCACAATAGTCTAACTTCAAGTGTGGACAAACTGTACAGACTGGACAGAATACGACGATTATTATAGTTAATAATTAATAATATATAGTTAATGTTAATAATTAATATTTTTTCGAAGTTATCACTTGGTCACTATTTAATATATTATATATATATATGTCATTAATATTTAATATTAACAATTAATACTAATAATAATTACACTGAAAAAAATACATGAGACATTTTCAACTACATCCCCTTAGTAGAGTAAAAAGTAATAAAACGAACTACTTTTTTAGTTAGTCTGGCTACTTTTGATACTTATTTTAACTGTTTTATGTAGTTAAAAATTATTAATTAAATTAATGTAATTTTACAGTTACCCAGTGAGAAATTGCCAATAGACTTTAATCGGTCCAATATTGGTTGCCGTGCTGGGCGCCGATTGACTCCCAATATTGGACCAATATGGGCTGATGCTTGGGATGTAACGGCATCGCCAATCATCGGTTGTCAATATTGGTCCAATATTGGCCGAATATTGGCAACCAAGAGAAAAAAATTTTTTTAAATAAATTTTTTTTAATTAAATAATAATAAAAAATTATTGTTTATAATTTTTGTTTAATATATTTATTTGTTTAATTATTTATTTTTAATAATTCATGTAAATAATAAATAATTTATTATTTATAAATTATAATTATTTAAAAATGCAGCAGCTATTAGAAAATAACATTCTGCAAAAAAATTCTATCATTGAAAAATCAATGATAGGCGAGAGAAATCCGCGTCTTTAAATAGATTCGCAGATGATAGACAAGAGATATCCGAGTCATTAAACGGATTCGCAGATATACTCTGGTCTCGCGACGAATCTCTCGATACTTATATACACTGGAGTCGCCGTGTCAGTTGCGAGAACGGTTACAGCGTCCCTCTTGCGGCAGAGATAAGAATTGTCACGTAAACTGCTAAATCGCTTTACCGACCGCCTTATTATACCCGCAGTTTACGTGACAATTCTTATCTCTGCCGCAAGAGGGACGCTGTAACCGTTCTCGCAACTGACACGGCGACTCCAGTGTATATAAGTATCGAGAGATTCGTCGCGAGACCAGAGTATATCTGCGAATCCGTTTAATGACTCGGATATCTCTTGTCTATCATCTGCGAATCTATTTAAAGACGCGGATTTCTCTCGCCTATCATTGATTTTTCAATTCTTAGAATTTTTTTGCAGAATGCTATTTTCTAATAGCTGCTGCATTTTTAAATAATTATAATTTATAAATAATAAATTATTTATTATTTACATGAATTATTAAAAATAAATAATTAAACAAATAAATATATTAAACAAAAATTATAAACATTAATTTTTTATTATTATTATTTAATTAAAAAAAATTTATTTAAAAAAATTTTTTTCTCTTGGTTGCCAATATTCGGCCAATATTGGACCAATATTGACAACCGATGATTGGCGATGCCGTTACATCCCAAGCATCAGCCCATATTGGTCCAATATTGGGAGCCTTTATTGGACCGATGATCGGTCTCTTGGCTCCCAATATTGGACCGATATTGGACCGGTGAGAAATTTCTCACTGGGTAACTTTGTAACTGCAGGTATGTTATAGAAATGACTACAGAAAGTAGTAGATTCTACTACTTAAAGTAGTTTGATATACTAATTTTGTAGTAGTTTTTACTTCTTCTAGGAGTTGAATTATTTTCCATGTAATTTATGTTATAGATTTTTATAGAAGATTATCAACTGTGAAAAGTTGTAAATGCAACTACTTTAAGTAGTAAAATTAACTACAGTTATCAGTTGAACTGTGTCTGGAATGCCTTTAAGTATTAAGCAACTCATCGTAGCGGGCGAGCGTGGTTAGGTGGTTAGGTTATCGGTTTACGAATGTTAGGGTCGAGCGTTCAACTCCCGACGTTTAGAGATTTTTCTCCGTTAGGTATATAGACATTAAATAAATAAGGTATAGGTAAACAAAAGTGGGTAGGGGGAAATATAAAAAAATACAACTCGATAATATTTATAATAAATTATAAATAATTTTATTTTACCATTTTCAGTAGTTACTTTATTACTGAGTTATCTTAGTAACTTTAACTACATATCAGCAGTTAATTCTACTGCAAAACTGTCATTGGTTCCTATTTAACTAAGAAAAGTAGTTAATGCAACTGTATTATCACTTCATTCAACTACATATCTGATAATTAATGTAAGTTCAAAATTATCTTTGGGGACTTATTGAACTAAGGAAAGTAGTTAAAAAGTAGTCAAATCTACTAAGAATTTTTTTCAGTGTAACTACATTAGTTGAATAATAACATTTTTGGTAATAAAAGTGATAAAAGTCAATAAAAGATAAAATAAAGTAAAAAATAGAATAAAATAATAAATTTATTATTAAAGTCCGTCAATAAAATGAAAAATAAAATTTTTCGCTTTTAAATTTGACATTTATTTACTTTTGGTGATTAATTTTATTACAAAACTTTCTAATGGCTTATCACTTATAGGCAGCAATTTCCTAGTTAGTTTTGCAATAAAATGTAATAAAAAACCTAGTTTCAACTAAATTAAAAAAAAAAAATTTTTCTTTCAAGTTCAATAATTTGAATATTATTTGCAAAAGATTTGTAAAATTTGCAAAAAAATAAGTTTTTTAAAAATAAAATATAAAGCAACGTATTATTTATAATAAATGTGGAAATATAAAATTCGTGCATCCCTGATAGATGCATTGACAGAAAACTTTCTCCTACGCAATTTAATATCATCCTGCGGGTCATATTCTTTCCTGAGTGTTTTTAGTTTTCTTCCTCTTTCGATATGTTACCACACGAACGCTGTCACATCGCGTCGAATCAATTAGCAACTTTAAATAGAGAATTGGACGCAAATTTGCTTATTAAAATGCGAGAATGTTGAAAATTTACATATATTCATATATGACACTTTTGAATGTTATTTTTTCCTTTTTTTGTAAATTTTTTTCTTTTTTTTCGTTTTCTTTCGTTTTTGTATAAAATAAAAGAATGTCGAGTGTGTTTATTTATTTTGTATCTAAATAACTGAATACATTATGGTTATTATTATTTTACAAATATTGAATTTAACTTGGCCTTCTTGTTTTTATAATGAAAAATTTTAACTTGTGTCAAATTGATAATTACAATTATTAAGCACTGTTAATAGGACATTAATCGTGTAAAAATATTTTATGTTGTAGCTTCGTGGTAAAGAGCACTTCACTGGCCATGGAAAGTCGATGTTGGGGTTCGATTCCCACAAAGTGGAAAGAAAAAAGTTTGAGAAAATTATAGAAAAGAAAATCTGAAAAGACTGAACAACAAATTTTCATCAAATTATAAAATGTTAATTTCAGGTAAGAAAAAATATTTTCATAACAATTTAAAAATTAAAGTTAAGAAGAAAATAGTCTGCCTTATATTAAAAAATATTACCTTCTTAGAAAAAAGAAGAAATTTGAGAAAAAAATATTTAATATAGATCAGTAATTAAGGTAGATTTATTTTTCAATTAGGTGTAATTTTGAACAATAATCAAATTTTATTTCGAGGATTTCGTATTAAATTAACATACTGATATATATGAATAATAAAAAAGGGGTTAAATTCCACTGTTCAATGTCGAGAAGAGGCCGTGAATATGGTATAAGACGTTGCATAATAATGAAAGTTGGCAGACGAAAGAAATCTAATTCGTTTCACTAATTAGAGAAATCGCCCTTCTCATCATATATATCTCGATTGTAGTGTCATTCAAGATCAATCGTAATTATTCATATTAGAAACATTCGCGGAAATACCGCAGAGAGTAACAATTTTTTTTCAAATTAAAACTACCATTAATTTTATTGCAATTACCAGAGTTTTTGACCGTTAATTAAAATTATATTTTATTTTAATTTTGGACACTTATCGTAAACTATAGTTGGTAAAAATATTTTAGGTAATACATTTTTACTAATTGTTATTATTACATATATAATTATATGTATTTAATTTGGATACAATATTTTAAAGCAAGAGTTTTAATATGGAATGTGAAAAATGAACTTTACAGTTAAATTTACATATTCGGGTAATTTAGGTTTTCTTTGGTTTTTATAATTGTTGAAAATCAAATTACAATTGTTATAATCAAATAATAATGTAAAATTAAAAATAAGGATAGGTCTTTCGTTAAAAACATTAAAACAGTTTATTAAACTCGAGTCACATTTTACATAATATTTAAAATTACGATGACGACGACGACGACCCACGCACCCTACGACTGATTACTTCCCACTATTTCACAAAATCACCCCCCTTCTTTATCAATTTTTGCCCACCAAATCCCAAATTATATACCGTCAAATCATTACCAACATAATAAAAGATAACACTCTATTATTTGGATTATAAACATTAATTAATATTATTATTATATTATTATTAATATTATTTAATACCTATATTAATAATCGTTGTACTTATTCCGGTAATCTGTTCGCAGTTTTAAATTAGTTTGCTTTTTTGTTTCTTAACTTTTTTAAATAATTTTTCTGTTTAAATATTTTCAATTTTAAAATTAATGTATTGAAAATCATCGAATTGTTGCAAAGAATTTTATCAAAATTTGATAGGGTCATTTGGGGTAAATGTAAACAAGGGGTAAATGTAAACAGTACATGTTTCAGCTAAATTTACAAATTAAAAAATAAGTACGACGTCAATATTTTTACCTCAGCTCACCTACAAGATGTTCTGAGTATTGCCAATATTTTATTTTGACAATTGGCAATGCCATAGTGTAAGTTATTTTTTAATGCAAAAAAGATTGAAAATCAAAATTTTACTGTTTCAGTATTTTGTCTCGCATTTGCATAAAAATAAATTTAAAAATCAAACAAAAATATGTAATTCTTCCTTATTAATGCCCTAACAAAAATTGACTTTGATTTTTGATTTTCGTCAATTTAGTTAATAAATAATTAAGTGTTTACATTTACCCTGAGAATTCGAAAACTCGGGGTAAATGTAAACAGAACTTCAACTACATTTTAAAAGAAAATAATTGAATAAATTTGCTTCTATTTCACAATTTCATTAATTTGGCAATGTAAAATTACATAGAAAAGGAAATTAGGTCCTCTTTAAAAAAAAAATTTGATAAAAAAAAAATTTTTTTTTGAAAATTTGATCAATTTTTAAAAATATTTTTAGGTTCATCCGCCATTTTAAAAATTTAAAATTTGACTTCAAATTCGTATTTAGCGATCTCAAAAACCCCCTAGTAGCCAGATTCAAGCAAATTTGATCAATTTTGCTTCCTCATAAAGGAAGCCTTATAGTGATGTCGATTTCCGAATTTTTTAGAACCAATTATTTTTACAAATTTTCAAGTGTAGTATATATAATTCGTCGAGAGGAACACATGTCCGGATGTATGTGTGTATGTGTGTGTGTGTGTGTGTATGTATGTGTGTGTGTGTGTGTATGTCACCGATTCTTGTGGACAAATTTTCTCTTACACGTCTTGACGGATTTTGATAAAATTTTGTAGGTGTATTACGGTCACGAATACCAAAAATCAGACAAAAGGATTTTCAAAAATATTTAAAAAAAAAATTTTTTTCAACAATTTTTTAATTTTTGAAAAAATAATTTTTGGATTTTTTGAAGTAACTTTTTTCTATATTAAAATTTTTATTAATTCATTTCAAAATTGCATTCCTGACATAAAAACGAATCGATTCAAGTATATAAAGTATATATTTTATTAAAATTTATAGAATTAATAAATATTTTAAATTTTCACAAAAAATTAAAATTTTGTATTTTTTGACATTTTATCTTAACACTTTAAAATAATTATTCTAAAGTAAAAAATTAAACAATTGGTATATATTATATTGAGGAAGCTTAATGATCATGAAATGAACAACTTGTTTAAAAATATTATTTTTAGGTTCATCCGCCATATTGGATCCACCATTTTGAAATTTAAAAATTTGATTTTAAATTCTTATTCAGCGACCTTAAAAACTTCTTTTTACCAAGTTGAATGAAAATCTATTAAAATTTGTTCAAGTTATTCAAGTTTTTACATTACTAGTTTTGTAATGGTTAATTGTTTATTTTATATGATACATTATCAGTCAACTGGTTGATTTACTATACATCTACGAAGAATTTTTTTTCAGTTTTTCCATCCCTTAAAATAGTAGTATACTTGAAATAACTTGTTTCTTAAACCTCGCTTAACTACAGTGGTGTTTACATTTACCCCGAATTTTAGGAAAATTTCAACATCTCGGGGTAAATGTAAACAGTCAGTTTTAGGCGATTCAGGTGCATCAATATTTTTTTGTACCTCATAAAATTTTTCTAGGGAACTCTAGTAACAAGTTCATGCAAAAAAATTCGTCCGTTTTACCTTTTAACAAAAAAAACTAATGTTTTTCGTGAAGAATAGATATTCCGTTAACATTTATACCCCAATTGACCCTAATAGAATTCTTTCGAAGAATTTTATTATTTAGAAAAATAATTGAATTCTCACGAAGAATTTTGTTAAAATTTTTGAAAATTCTAATTAAATTCTTTTTGGAGAATTTCTTTGAATTTTTTTTTTAAATAATAAAGTTTATTCTTTAATAATTTTAATTAAAAATTTTTAAAATAATTACATTTTATGAATAATTTCTTTCAAGTTTTTAAAATAATCGTATACATAATAATAATTTGCTATTCCGTGAACAGAAAGTGTCGTCTTTTGTTTTTCTATAGTAATTAATGTTTTTTGATAGAAATTTTGGTTATGAGTATTCCCATATGTGTGATAACCGTGATAACCACTTGATGCAAAGAAATTTTTTTACAAATAAAAGAAAAATGATCAAGACATGCCTCTATTCAACTGATGTTAAAAATGGTAAATACATGTAATTTTTTCAAGAATTTTATTCTCTATTATTTTGTTAATTCTTATAAATTTAATGAAATTCTCAAACTTGGTATTGATCAAAAGTTTAAATTCTAACATCGAACAATTTTTTTTACAATATTATTCAATTAGTGAACTGAATTTTATTTGCCACTTTTGTTTGACAAAAATAAATTGATTAAAGACACTTAAATTTTGAAGTTTAAATATTTAGTATGTTTTTTAGATTAAAATAGTGTTTTTCAATTAAATCTTTAGAATTTTTATTTCTTTTGGTAAATTCAGTCTCCTATAAAATGATAATTCAATAAACTTCAAAAAAAATTCCGCATTTTTTACATTTTTTAATACTCTTGCCATTCTGGTTACGCAGAATCGGGTACTTTATTTATTTCAGAAAAAATAATACTTATAAATTCTATTAAACATTTCTTTCCTTCAATTATCAACATTTCAATGTATTCAATATATTTTTCGGATGAATACTAACAATTATTAGGGTAGGCGAACACTATTTTTAAAAAAAGTATTTTCTACACCTTTTTGTCTAAAAAGGCGATTTCTAATTAAATCTGTTTTCTGAAAAAAGTTTTTATAAAAAGTTATAATTTCTAATGTTTATTTTCCTAAAATTTCTAAAATTCCATAATTTTTATAAAAATTAGAAAATTGTTTAAAAATAAAGATTAAATTTTCTGTTTCTCAATTACAATTCTGTTTACAAAATTATAAGTTTCTTTTTGAAAATGAAGAAAAATTTTTATAAAATTACTATTTCTTATCACAATTCTGCCGTTTGAAATAAAAACTTAGTTAACTGACATTTATATCGAAACGAGCAAATAAGGAAAAACTGTTTGCTTTCAGAACCCTAATAAAAATTAAAAAATTGTTCAATTCAACTTCACATACTGGGTATAATGATGGTGCTCTATTTAATTATGAAATAAAAAATTAATTATTTAAACAAATTATATGAAAAAATGCACTTGCGTGTTTTTCCGAATGCAAATATGAAGTAAAAAGTTAGGTAAAGTCCTTTGCGTAGTTGCTCAACAAAAATGTACGCGAGCTCGGTCCTCCGATTTGATGGAAAAACTTACCTAACTGACAATGACGTCATGTGGTAAGGGGACGGCTGCTTGCTGCTTGCGTCCCGAGGATAAACCGAGTTTAGCCGAATGCAGTTAAGTAGTCGTTCGGCTCTGTCTCGACTGACTTTTTGACGGAATAACTTATAGGTAATTGCAAGCGTTGCATAGATGCAAAGTTTTTATTTCAAATCCAACGCTCAGACTCGACTACTTATTTGATACAAAAAACACACAAATGCCTTTAACTAAGTTATTCCTTCAAATCTTACATTCGAGCTCGTAGCCTCGTTTGTTTTTTGGACTACGCAAAGTCCTTTCCTTAACTTCACCAAAATGTCAGTTAACTAAGTTTTTATATCACACGGCAGAATTTGTTAACAAAATTCTATTCTTCTTTGAAAAAAATAATTTGCATCATTTTTACATTTAAATTTCCAAAGTTAATATATTTATAAAAAACTTTTTTAGAAAATTTTAAATATCTTTAGGGAAAAAGTCCCTATAATTTGTTAATTACGATTTTTAAGTACACTGAGAGAAGTCCAGGGCGTAATAGTTACCGCTAGACGTCGCTATAAGCTAGTGTTCTTGTTGCGTTTGAGATGTTTCGAATCTAGGGCTCAGACGCCCCGAGTCTGTCAAACATTGTTCCCGCATGTGAGAGAACAACTCGTGACCGAAACTAAAAGTTGTAAGTAATCCCGCTTTCGGGACGTTCCACGTTTTTTATCGGGGGTTGAGACGTCCCGATCGAGGGTTCACATAAGAACATTCAAAATTATCACTCAAGCCTCGCACGGGACGTATTAGTTCCCGGACTTCTCTCAGTGTAGATTATTTAAAAATTTTGTTAAGTAATTTGCATAATTTCTATTTTTTATTATAATTTTTTAACGAATAATATCAAGTATTTTTTTAAAGAATTAACAAATTTTCGTAAATTTTATTTTTTAATCATATGTACTTATTATCGTGATTACAAAAATAAAATATTGCTAGAAAAAAGAAAAATTTTGAAAATTACCTTTATTAGAAAAATAAATTTTTAGAAAATTAGCTTTATTAGAAGACAGAAAATTTCAAAATCACCTTTATTAGAAAAAAGTTTTTTAGAAATTCACCTTTATTAGAAAAAAAAATTTTAAAAAATACGATTTAGAAAAACTGTACCCCAACCATTATTAGAAACATAAGAATGAAAATTAAAATATTTGCAGAAATTATAATTTAAATCTTTTGAGTTTGAATTTCATTACATTTATATGAGCTTAAAAAATATTTGAGGGATTTCATGAGAAAGTTACATGTATAAAAATTACATTTGAAACTTGAGTTGAGTAGAGGCATGTTTTTTCACTTGGTAATTATATTTATTTTAATAACAGAAGCCATTAAAAAATCGCAAAAGGATCCAAGGCAAGAAAAGTAGTATCCCAGGAGGAAAAGTCGGACGAATGTCGGAGTTTACAACCGCCTGGGATCCGCGCCCGTGCGGACCGCCAGTACCGATGTTTTGTACCGATTCGGATCCCAAAATGCAACCGGCGCGGAACAGATTAGGCTCCGACTTTTGGATCCGCCTTTCTACTTTCGTCAGTACTGGCGCGGTACTGGATTTGTTCCGCCTGCAGATTTCATTCTTCTACGCGCGTCGGAAGAATGACGGATATGTTGAGTCTGTACTGGCTCGGTGCTGGGGCGGATCCGACTGCGGATCTCGTCATTTATTGTTATAGTTTACATTATCAGTATAATCATAAATTTATTTTATTATTATAATTAATTATTACAATAACTAATTGCATTTATTATAATATTATTATTAGTTAACCAATAAATAAATTAATAGTATTCATGCAAAGGAAGAATATAAGAAACTCAATTTTTTCATTATATATATAAAAATCCAACTTTATTAATGTGCAATTAAATAAATAATTTTTAATAAATAATATATTAATTTGAAAGAAAATGTGTTCAATATATAATAATACCTACAATAAATAACACATTAAATAAATATATAAAAAACAGATTATTAATTAATTTATTATTAATTAATTAATAATCTCTTTTTAATTTAAACAATATATTAAGTAATTATTTATTGACACTTTTCTGCAAATTAAATAATTAAAAAAATGTGTTGTGCATTAAAATTTTATTCAATTTAATACTATTACTTATATGTTATAAATTGTTTTGCAGTGAAGTTATGTTCATATTATTCGATATATTATGTAATAAAATATTAAAAAACATAATAATAAAAATATAACATTTTTTTTAAACGAAATATTGAAATATTCATAAATACACATTCAGTAAAGTATTGAAAATATAACGGTATTACATCAGTTCGTATAAACGTAATTTTACAATTTTTATTTCAGCTAGTGAGACTTGAAAGCATTTAAGGTTTGAGAGTTCCATGCGAGCGTAGCATAGTGGTTAGCGTGCGAGATTTCGGTGCGTAAATATTCGGTTAGGCGTAGGTTCGTACCCCCAAGCGTTAGGATTTTTCAAATGTGTATGTAATAAAAAATTGCGTTTAAGTGTATAAAGAAATAAAAAAATGTGTAAAGTGAACTGTCAATGAATTGTCATCCGTATTTATCTTTTGCAATTAATTATTATTTTTTTATTGATATTTGTTGAAATTATTATTTTGATCCGAGCCGGTTGTCAGTCGGTAGAATGCCAGCATTGCCAGCGTACATCTGGCTAGGAAATGAAAGATCCGCAGTCGGTACAGTGCCGGGTCCCAGCCGGTTGAATTATACACGGAACGGCTCTTCGCGGCCGGTTACCGGGCGGTAGAATGCCAGTTCCGAGACGGATGGCCAGCCAGCTCCTGGCCAAGTCATCTTTTGGTAGAATACCAGTTCTCGGGCGGTAGGCAGGCGGTTCCCAGCCAGTACCACTACTCCGGCGTCGGTACAGGCGAGGATCCGCGCCGGTTGCAAATTTCCCACTGGGTTATAGAGAATTAATGATAAATGAGAATAAAAATTGAATTAAATCTAATTATTAAACTTTTGCATATATTATTTATAAGTTCAATAAAATTGTTTCTATTTAATTATTATTTCTTTCCATCTTTCACCGCACGACATTAATAGGAAAATTAACGTTAGAATGTTGTCAAACAGTCATTTCTTCACATATTATTTACGGGAGTTTGTATATAGAAGAATAATAATCCCAATTCCGGAATAGTGTAACTGGGTAAAATACATATGAAAGTGAAACTCATAACCGTAAATTAAATGAGTGAAATCAGAATAATTGCTTTAGTTAAATGAGACAAGTTTGATGATACTCGCGCAGAGATTTAAGTGTGTATTTAAAACATGTTAATAGAATATCGCAGAAGCTGAAATTGGAATCCTCTTAAAAAATTTATGGATCGATATTGAATAGAATATCTCGTGAATCTTAAGAGTCTACATTTTTTTACGATGTATTTTATTATCAAAAAAAGAGAAAAGAGAATCTGATATATTTATTTTTTTCAAAATTATTTTATGTAAATGAATTTATCGAATGGGCTATTTATAGGATCTAATAAATTTATTATTTGAGTTTCACAATTCAGAATATAAAAAATAGAACATGAAGAAATGTTGGATAGGTCATCAATGACCATCGAGTTGCTTATACAATGTTTTCTTTTTTCAAAAAAAAGCTTGAATTTCGTAATGTAGAGAACTATTTAATGATTGCTTTATTAGACACTCGTAACTGTGAGAAGAAAAGAATTTTATAAATTTATGGTTGTAATAATTTTTACGACTACTGTAATGAGTGATAGTTTTAATCAATGGTTGCAATAGTTGGTAGTTTCGATCATTATTTGTAATTTCAGTCTTTAGTGAATTTAATTTTCGCAAAAAGATTGTTTTAATTATTTTATTATTGTAAAATATTATTACACAAGTATAGAATTTAAGGTTTTCAATTCCTGTTATTTACGATCTATTATAATTTTTGTATTTTATGTTTCGAATGTTTATATAATTTTTTTTTTCAAATTACAGAGACGAGCGTTTCTTATGAAGAATGGGTGTTTGTTGAGGAGCAGCTCCTGGAGTTTGGCTACAGCTTAGCGCAGTTTAATATAAGTTGATTAATTTTTTTATTAAATTTCTATACTTTATGAATATTAAATATATTTCTCTTATTTTTTTACTATTTGAATATTAAAGAAAAGTTTATTTATTACACATTTAGAAGTAATAATTGAATAAGAATTTAGAACTAATAAAAATATATATATATAATAAATATAATAAATTTGGAAATTTTTTAGGCAAATGGTTCAGAAGAGAGAAAAGATTTCTACAGAATAATGGGATCGTCCATAAATTACGTAAGACATTTAGGGGGGAGGGGGGGTCTGCTAGATCTTACGGCAATAGAAAAAATGACGCTAATGTACGTAAAAAATCTTACAAGGAGGGGGGGTTAAATTTTCCAAAAAAATGTCTTACGTAATTTATGGACGGCCCCTTAGAAGAGTCATGGATTTAATCCACAGATTAATTATAAGCTATAATATTATAGTTAATTATATAAAAATATAAATAATTTATTAATTGTCTATATTTTTATATTTATAACTATTAACTGTTTTATTTCTTTATAATATAATAATTTTATTTGCATTATCTCTTTAAATTTCAGATAATCGTTCTATATGAAAAAAAAGATTCGATAGAGAAGAAAATTATGCTGTCATCGTGAAGGGTATCACGATTCAAATACAAACCCTCGACTGGTAGCAAAATTAGCGAAAAGTATTTTTTCGCTAATTTTTTTTACTTGAAAAAATTAAACTCGAAAGTAAGTAAAATTTAGACTTGAATTTTAATTATTTGATTTTGTTGATTCTTTTCTCTAAGTGTCTAAATTTTTCAGTATGGGACAATTCGACAATCTGAAGGATGTGGAGAAGAAAAGTGGTCCCTGCACACTGCCGTTGTATTTTTGTAATAGTAATTTTTTTAACGGTTCCGTGTGGCCCCTGATCTGACGCAGAAGTGCGATTAAGAGTCAGGGATCTTTAGGGGTGACCCAGAAGAAAAGATGATGTGGTTGGACATCATAGCCACACAACGTGGGAATTAAGTATTGTAGTAACGAATTATGAGTCAATTGATCATTTCTATTTTTCCTTCCCTGTTAAAGGGCAGTTTTTGAATTAACTCCTATCATATTAACTTTTTTTTAGCAATTGTAATTAAATTTATAAATTCGATTTTTAAAGTAAATTATAAATTTTAATTTAAAATATGAACTTTTCCAATATTTTCGGAAATTTGGACTTCAATTTTAATTTCCGTTTATTTAAAATTTATTTCAATAATGATTAAATTTATTAAATTTAATTTTTAAAGTAAATTTCTTGCAGTAAATAGATTAAAATTTTTCCAACATTTTTGAAAATATGGATTTTAATTATAAATTAGAAATGTGTTATGTATATTAATATTAAAACTATTGATTATTAGTCTAATTTCGTTTTTTTTTAAATTTTAATTGATTCTTCATATTTAGAGATCCATATTTTTGAAGAATGTGAAAATTTTTTTTACAACAGGAAAGGAATTCTAACAGCATAGTGACAGCATTGACACAAATATTGTTTTCTAGTACATATTTATTTATTTAATTATTTCAATATAAGCGGGAAAGAACAAGTTGTGCTAATCTCTAAATTTGAATTAGTAAAAATGTTTACTAATTGAAATTAGCGACTGATTATACTGATAAATAGTAAATTCTTCTCATTTATTTGTAAAATTTACTTATTCAAAAGCAAAAAATTAGCCCCTTATTCAAATTAATAATTTTACTAATTCAAATTTAGAAAGTATGCTATATTTTTTATTCCAACGAAAACTAATATTTTTGTCAATGTTTACATATATATATATTTATTATTTGTTCTATATTTTTTCTTTCAATTTGTCTCTTGATTTAAAGTAATGTTGTTTCATTTTAAAAATAATAATATTAGGGGAGTATAGTCGAGGTTGGACCGCTGTCTAGGTAGGCCATTCGCGTTTTTTTGTCAAGTTAACTAGCGCCACCTACGCGCATGCTTGTCGAAGCTTGTCTTAGTAAAACCTAACTTTTTGTTCAATTACATTTTCGGAGAATCGAAAATTTGTGTTTTCTGTGACGTCGGTACAAAAAAAGCTCAAAAAAAGTTTTGTGCATCATATGAAAAACCATTAATAAAAGATAAAAAAAATTGAATCGTCAAGGCAAGCATGCATAAATTTTGTGCATGGTTGAAAGAAAAACTAAGTTAAAAATCGAATCCCGAAACGTATTTCTTTATGATTAGAACAATTCGGTAATGTTACTTTCTGTCAAGGTTGGCCACTTTGTAATTAAAATGCGCAAAGATGAGGACGAGCTACTTCATTTGCAAAAACTGCGATTCTGAATAACTCATGATATAATTGTTAATCTTATTAATATTTTTATTTAATTTTATTAATATTTCAGTGCAAAATTTTTATTTTATTTATTTTTATTTTTTATATTGTTTATTTTTATTATTTTATTATTTCATTAAGTTACAAGCTGTAAACAATAAAGGATCAATTTTCCGTAACTCTAAACATGTTATTTTATTTTTTAACGGCAATGCCCTTTGAATTTCAAACCTGGACCAACCTTGACTGTAAGGGCCAACCTGGACTGCAAATTTTTTTTTTTGAAATCTTTATAACTTTTTCATTTTAAGCCAATCAATTTACTTTGTACAGAAAAAATGTTCCTATTAAACAGGACTTTCCAACAATATACTTCAATTCACCAAATACATTTTTAAAAAAAAGTTATAAACAAGAGTCAAAAGGTGGGCCGACCTCGACTATACTCCCCTATAACTATAGTTTTTTCATTTTTTTTGTGGATTTACAATTTCTTAACAATATAATTTATTTCTATTTTTTTGTTTAATTTCGTTAAATATAATTTATTTTGTTTAATATAATTTAATTAAAGTTTTACATAATTTTATTATTTTTATTTTATTCAATAATTATTAAATATAATGTAAATAATTTTATTTAAGTTTTACATTTAAATGGATTAAAATTAAATTTTTTGATGATTATATTTGGAGATAAATTGAATTATTTATTATTGTATATAATGTTTTGTGAGTGTGGAAGTGTGGAATTGAAGGGCATTGCCCTCAATCTTGAGCTCGGGTGTCGGATGCGTCCCGGGACGTAGGGGCCTAAATGCTCACGTAGGAGGTTCCAAATGCCCAAAAATTGCATTCGGTTTCTTCTTATCCCTAGGAGTAGGCTTTTTTGCACCTGGGCGGCATGTCTGAAACATAACGGAGTGGTCGCGAAATTGCTATGTATGTAATTAAAAGTATAGGTTTGCACTTAAATAGCTCGTTGCATAAAAATAAAAAAATCGGGAAGGTAGACTTAGCTTTTTTTGCATGAGTGAGGTAATTTTTTTTCCTCTTAAATATATAGGTATAGGTAGGAAAATCGGGTTTTTTGGAGCACACAAACTGTGTGTGTCACAATCACTAAAGTGATTACCAAAGTGATAATGATATCAGTGTCACTGGAGTGACACTGGAGTAACTATACGGAAAGTATGTTTCTTCTTGCAATTTTTATCTTTATGTCACTATGTTGTTTTAAATTAATTTATTTTGTGATTTATGAATTGTTTGAACTATTTGGTTTTGTTTCATTCATCATGGGTGGGCTTTTTTTTATTATTTTCATTTTATTTAAGTATTTATTATTTTTTTGTTGTATGTAATTTATTGTATTTTTTTATTTTATTCATTCGTTTCATCAAAGTCATTGAAATCTTTTTATTTTCTCAATTTTATTGATTTCTTTTTTCTGGAATATGTATGTTTAATTGTTTACTTTTCTTGTATTTCATTGTATTTTTTTGCTTATTTATTATTTTTTGCCTTAATTTATTGTATTTTTTTATTTCATTCAGTCATTTCATCAAACCCATTGAAATGTTTTTTTTTCAATTTTATTGATTTATTTTTTTGGAATTTTTTTAATTATTTATTTTTTATTATATTTTTTGTGTTTCAAGATATTTTTTTACTTATTTATTATTTTTTTGTTTTTTTAATTAGGTATTGTGTTTTTTTATTTCATTAATTTGTTTAGCGGTTTCGAAAAATGTCCAAGGATTTTTTTCTTAATTCCTGATGGACACCCTGTTATTTCGTTGATATTAATGTTGGTCAACATTATTTGATAAAAATTTAGGTCCTTGAAAGAATTGAAATGAATATATTAATACTATTAATATTATTAATTTATTAATAAATAATATTATAACCTTTAAAGTGCTATGCCGGTCTGACAGACCGCTATTAAAATTTTCTTTGCTTGTAACTTTTTTTCAAAGTATAATAAGAACTTGAACTTTTTAGTAGCTTCATATTTTATGAAAATCTGTTAGGAGACAACTTTTTCAAAAATTTTTATTCGTTAAATTTTGTAATATAAATAAATATTTGAAGTATAGCGGTCTGTGAGACCGGGGTTAGCTTTAAGTGAAAGTATATTCCAGAATATTCCCATGAGTGACGTCTGCGCAACTTGACGCGCAGCTAGTTCTACTGACAGTTCTCATAGACTGCATTTATAAAATAAATAAAATAAATAAAATAAATAAAATAAATAAAATAAATAAAATAAATAAAATAAATAAAATAAATAAAATAAATAAATAAATAAAATAAATAAAATAAATAAAATAAATAAAATAAATAAATAAATAAAATAAATAAAATAAATAAAATAATAAAATAAATAAAATAAATAAAATAAATAAAATAAATAAAATAAATAAAATAAATAAAATAAATAAAATAAATAAAATAAATAAAATAAATAAAATAAATAAAATAAATAAAATAAATAAAATAAATAAAATAAATAAAATAAATAAAATAAATAAAATAAATAAAATAAATAAAATAAATAAAATAAATAAAATAAATAAAATAAATAAAATAAATAAAATAAATAAAATAAATAAAATAAAT